GCTTATGCAAATGAAGCCCGGGAAATTCAAATCCCGGGCTTCATTTGCAAGTGCGGTATGCCTACATTACCCTCCTAGTTCGAAATAGGAGGGTAGTATAGACATACCCAAGGGTAGTCAGGTCAGGGCCAGATTAAGGGGAGAGGGAGCTAGCCAGGCAGCTGGCCAGGGCGCCTGATGGCAGCTGTAAGGGGCTCAGCGCACCAGGGGGCGGGGCCGCACATGCACCGTGCGCCCGGGGGTGGAGCCGCGCATGCGTCGCACACCCGCTGCCCAGGGCGCAGGAATGGCTCGAGCCGGCCCTGAGTCAGGTTATAGCCCATGCTGCCTGCATTGTTCCATGGAGCCAGATGGCAGGACATAGGGCAGCCAGGATCTAGTTTACAGATAAGGAGTAGAGGAACCCAGATGTATAGGTTGGTGATCTTTGACTACCTGGAGAACAGTTGCCCTGGAGGTAGGGTTATGACCCACTGAAACAGGCTACAAGAGTTGGACTGGGGAACCTGGGCTAAGTAAATAAGTCTTTGAGGATACAATCCATTATCTTCTACATGACAACACAAATCACCATATGGACCACAATGGGGGATGAAAGTGTTAAGGATACTTCTGAGTCAACAAGGTCTTTTCCAGCTGAATCACTCTCATCTCATGTTTTCAAAAGTGGATCTACAAGAGCACGTCTACACTGCAATGCTACTTCGGAATATTGGAGTATCCCGAAATAGCTATCCCGTGTTTTCACAGTAAGCCCGTTATTTTGGACTTGCTATTTCGATGGCCCTGTAAACCTCATTCTATGAGGAGTAAGGGACTTTTTGCAATAGTGCTTTATTTTGAAATTTGGCGCTTATGATGAAATAAGCTTTTTCGAAATACATCAAAATAAGATACACAATTTGCATAGCTCAAATTGCATAACTTAAGTTATGGTGCAGTGTAGACACACCCCTTATAGCTGACCAAGAAGAGACAGGAGTTTGATATAAATCAAGGACCTAGCACTGAGATCTTTCGTGATTTGATGTAAAGGAGTAACTCCTATTGCTGTCAGCAGTAGTAGATGCATATCCTCTTATGAGGACCAGCGAGCAGAGCTGGGCCTAAGGCCTTCCCAACTAAAAATAAATGAAAGGTGAGAAGGCACTCAAGAGTGAAAATGTGAGTTTTACACCTGTTCACAGAATACTAACAGAGACAGCAAAAAGATGGAAGGCAATGTCCAGGAACTGACTCTCTAAGATTGACCCTGGTATCAGTGTTGAGTGTCATTCACTTGAAGGACTTTGTGGCTGTACTCAGTGTGGTCTGTGGTGGAGCTAGCTAGGATGAGGCCTACTCTGCACAATACTATACACTACACCTGTGTGAAGGCAGTTAGTGAAGTGCAGAGGTGCTTTGCAGTTGTCTAGCTGTGGCTGAAGGCAAGGGGAACAGGCTGCCTTGGTATATAACACCTTGGCAGAGCTGTCAGTGCACCCACGGGGAGTTAGAGGCTCCACTGTGGTTCACAGCACCCTCCAGGAACAGCTGTAGTGCTGCACAGCCTGTGCAGAGGCCTGGCTGCCAGATGCCTCAGGGCAGGAGGGGAGCCTGCCTGGGTCACAGGCTGACCAGCCGCTTGCAGACGGCCAGGCCCGGCGGCAGGCGCGCCCAATCGGCGGGCCTCACCCCAGCTGGGCTGGGAGAAGGGCTTGGCTCTGAATCCCGCTCCGTGGCCGCCGCGCTCCAGGCGTCCGCGTCTTGCCGGAGCCCAGCCCGTCTCTCCGCTGCCCTGTGCAGGGAGGCAGCAGTCGGCGAGTACGGCCGGGCGGAGGAGCCCGCTGCAGCAGCGCACCCCGACCTCCGCCGCACGCAGCTCCAGGGAGGGGGGGACTCCGCACTCCCGGCCCTCCCCGTGCGCGAGGGGACCCATCCGCATCCAGCCCGGCGCCGGCCCCCCAGCTGCAGCGTCTCCAGCTCGCCGCGCTACCAGGTGGGTGCCCGCAATGGGCAGCGGGGGCCGGAGCTTGCACCGCGCGCCGGGGCTCCCCTCGGCCAGGGGCTGGGTGCGTGGGGCTGGCGGCGGGGGGAGGGGTGCACGGCAGGTGACTGCATCGCTTGGGGGGAGCAGGCGAGTACGTCTGAGGTAAGGGGATGATGCAGCAGACCTCCTCCCCCGCCCCCACCCCTCTCGATGTCAGGCTGGCCGGGAATTGCAGCTGGATGGGGAATAACTGATGCATGTTACCGGAAAAGGAGAAAGGAGTCGGTGAGCTTCATTGCCTGGACTTGAGGAAAAATCTACCAGGGATCCAGGTGACTGAGCCTCTGAAGTTCTGCATTGGCGCCTGATTGCATGATGTACACGACTGAGGGGGCTATGAATGCATTTTTTTTGCCAGCATATACTGGGACAGACGCAGAAACGTGGCCCAGGCTGCATTTGCCGGCTCAGACTGGGACAGACAGGCAGACATGCGCGTGCACACTGACAGGCCATGGCTACATGGCCAGGCTGGGATGTGTATGCACGTCCACACACACACAGATGGTTGAATTTCTCAGCTCACACTGATGCCTGACTCAGAGAGGGCCATATACAGCCAAGGGCATATCTATGTTTTCCATCTGGCATTGGTTGGGGTGCATCTATGTACATAGGGACAAATCTATTTCAGGCTGGTGGGAAATAGATACATCAGAATGGCTAAATCCTGAATTTCTCAGTTTTTGTTGGTGGGGTGCATGCACACACACACATTTCCAGCTGATGCTGGAAAGGATGATGATGTGAATAGGGTTTGCATTGCAGTCAAGATATGTTTCCTGCATACAGCAAGTTGTCTCATTGCATGCAGTATGTCGCCAGCAAGCTAGGAATGGAGAAAGGTACTATGCTTGTATATAATGATAATAAAAGGAGCTGGATGTGGAGGCTTTAAAAAGTTGTGATCTGATAGTGTAACAATCGCTGGGATAAACCTCTAGATGAAGCTTAAACATCTGGCATGATATTATATAACTGACTTAGTGGAAATGGAGTGAAACCCCGCTAATAGATACATTTATTTTTTCCATGAAGAAAAGTCACGATTTTTTGTCCAGGCAGAACCATTTAAAATGTTTCTTCATAAACTGTGTTTTGTCAATAAGAATTGTAAATCAGATTTTACTCAGGAAGTTGCTACACTGGTAAGTACCTTTTCCATTTAACCTCAGGTGGTTTTCAAAAATTTAAAAAAATACACTGTGAGGAGTGAGGCAAAATCCTTACAAGCTTCTTGAGTTTTTTCAGATTACGCAAAATAGTGCTTTGGAAATCATCATCACCTTAGAAGTTCTAATGCTTAACATGATCATCTGACTTAGGTTTTGTCACTGACCCCTATTCAGTTTTATTTATAACTTTGACATTCTGCAAGTCTGCATGGTTAATATTTATATGAAATAAAATAGCAATGCAGAGATTATGGACTAATAACAAATGAAACAGAAGACCTTGCTGTGCTTCTCAAAGTGAATTGGGTTTCCAAGGTCGAACAACAAACTGCAGCATAACTTCTATATGTTAATATTGCTACAGAAATATTCATGAACCTTACTGGAGGACTAAAGAGAAAAGTTTTGTTGAAGTAGGCTCTTAAAAATAGAATATTATTCTTTTGGTACTAGCATATACTCCAAATTATTTATTATATAAGTAAGGTGCAAGAAACTGGTTAATTTTACTCTCCAGATATCCATAGCTGAGTTTTAATGGAACTAGTTTATTTTACCGCATGACTAACAGATTTTCTGTTCACTGAGCCCGGGTCTATGCTGCCAAGCCCATTATTTTGAAATAATGGGCTGGTTACTTCAAAATCTGTACTTCTTTCCTCAAGGAATAAGCTTATTTTGAAATAACTCCCAAACTAACTATTTCGATTTTAGTTATTTCAAAATAATTTCCTAGTATAGACATGCCCTAAATGAGCAACTTGCACGATTAAATTGGCTCAGAGATTAAAGTCTTGTCAAATATATATTTTCTTTATAATGTAGTCCTGGTTGGATGGGAATAGTTCTCATATATAGTAACTAGCCTTTATTTTTATATTCATCTCTACCAGAATTAAACATTTTTTTATATAAATAACATGATCTTGACTTTTAAAGGTTAACAAAAGGTGTTTAGTATAATTTGAAACAGCTGTAATATTTCAGAAGTTCAGTAAGATAAAGTAGTGACGTCCAGTTTAGTGTTACTTGAAGAGTTAATGAGTGGAGTTGTCTTTTCCTTTATTAAAAGTTGACACAAGCAGAAGACTTGCTACTTCTCTCATGCTTTAAATCAATTCAAATGTTTGTAAGTATTAAGTATGAAGTTTAGTATCTAAATATATATTCTAAACAAATATGCAATCAGCATACCTTTCCAAAACAAATACATGGTGAATCCATATCTAAAAAAAGAGTTATCCTTATGTGGCTACATAATTGGGGCACACTGTAGTACAGTAGACTTCCGATAATCCGGAACCTATGGGGCCTAGATGGTGCCAGATTATCAGATATGCCGGAGTATCAGGAGGTACTATAAGATGGTTATGTATATACTGTATATAAAGTGTTCTTAACCCTTTTTATTGTACATACTGTATACAGTATACTGTAATGTTTTAGTTTTTTAACCCTTTTTTACTCTTTTCGCTCTGTTCAGCTGCTGCCGCTGTTACCTTGTGACTCATTTTTTGCCAAAGCTCACCACTAGGCTCTTGCCATTTTGATGCTGGACTATCAGGAGTGCCGGACTATTGGATGCTGGACTATTAGAGTTTTACTGTACTTGTGTTTGAAAAGTACAGTAGAACCTCAATTATGAACACCTCAGGAATTGTTCATAATGGTGAAATGTTCATAACTCTGGAAATTCCATCAACTACTAGATTAGTTGATAAGGAGGTTTGCTGCAGCTCTGCTTTTTAAAAGTAGTGAGAGTCACCAGGTTTTACTACATTTGAAAAGGAGGACCACAGCGAACCCCCTTTTGGGCTAATAGAGTAGTCGATGGAAATTCCATCAACTACTCCATTAGTCTACTAACCACTATTTAGAATCCCTAGTCTTCACCATTTGTAATTTTACTGGAGTTCTTCAAGCCTGCTGCTTCCTTTCTCTTTCAGTTTCCTTGGCACACTCCTCACTCTTTTTGGTGTTGAACATAAGAACGGCCATACTGAGTCAGACCAAAGGTCCCTCTAGACCAGTGTCTTGTCTGCCGACAGTAGCCAATATCAGATGCCCCAGAAGGAGGGAACACAACGAGTAATCCTTATGTGATCCCTCTCCTGTCACCCATTTCCAGACAAACAGAGGCTAGAGACACCATTCCTACCCATCCTGGCTAATAGCCATTGATGGACCTAACCTCCATGAATCTATCTTGCTCTTTTTTTGAACCCTGTTAAAGTCCTAACATCCTCTGGCAAGAAGTTCTAGAAGTTGACTGTGTGCTGAGTGAAGAAAAACTTCCTTTTGTTTGTTTTTAAACCTTCTGCCTATTAATTTCATTTGGTGACCCCTAGTTCTTATATTATGGGAACAAGTAAATAACTTTTCCTTATTCACTTTTTCAACACTAGTCATAATTTTATAGACCTCTATCATATCCCCTCTTAGTCTCCTCTTTTCTAAGCTGAAAAGTCCAAGTCTTTTTAATCTCTCTTCATATGGGACCCGTTCCAACCCCTTAATCATTTTTGTTGCCCTTTTTTGAAACTTTGGCTGCCTCATTTTTCCTTTGACCTTTTGTGCTCATTTACCTCCTGGAACTGACTCCTATTCTCAAATCCTCTGTTGCTCAAAAGTTCTGATACAACTATTTTAGACTTCTAATTTTACCTTGGCTTAACTTTTTATTTTCTGTAAGCCCAGGAATTGTTGTACCATGCCAAATCGTTGCTCATCTGTTCTTTTAGAAATAAATTTTAATTTTAGATACTGGTATCTAACAAAGTGTAATAAAACATTTCTGAAACCTTTAAAAATAAATGCCAGAAGTACAGTAAAAGTAAACTTAATAATCCATTGGTCCTAATTACAATGAATATTCCCCACCAACCAACCTCAGTAAAAAGGAAATTACAATTCTTTAGTTTCTGCCCAACAGGATGTCACTGTGGTATTGAGGGAAAAACATCCTATCGCAGGGGTCCGCAACCTTTCAGAAGTATGTGCCAAGATTTAACCCCCTCAGTGCAAGCCCTGTCCCATCCCATCCTATCCCTACATCCTCCTTCATCCCCCGTTACTGCCGCCACATTCCTGTGCCCCCAGTACACACACTGGCAGGGAACCTGCGCTGGCACTCGCAGCCCCCACCCCCTCCCGGGAGTAGCGCTGGGTCGAGGAGGGACTGGTGGGCGGCAGAGTCACTTCCTGCCTGGCCCAGCCCTTTGTCTGGGGCTTTCCCCTCCCATGAAGGCTGCAGCTCTGGGGCTGGGGCATGCAGAGCTCAGGACTGCCCGGGGCTGGAGACAGCCCCTGATCAGGCACAGCGAAGGGCTGGGGAAGGGTTTCTCTGCCAATGGGGAACAGCTGAAGCGTAGCCCAGGCCCTGGTGCTCCATGGGGGCGGTGGCAGCGGCAGCATGTGACTGGCTGTGTCATCCTGATCTATGGAGCAGCCCTAGTCCCACCCCCTCCTGGAGCAAGAGGCAGAGCCTGGGGGAGGCGGGGAGAAGGAGAGGATGTTAACCCCTTAGCTCCCAGGCGCTGCACGCCCCAGGGATGTGGAGCCCAGTCTAGGGTCATGCTGCCCTTTCCACTTGCTGGGCTGCTCAGCCCCTGTGCCAGGGGTGGGGAACCTTTTTGCATCAGGGGCCACTGACCCACAGAAAAATCAGTTGAGGGCCACACACAAAACCCCCACACTGACGTGGTACACGACTGAGAAGCAGTCTCCTCACATTCTGCTTGCACACCAGAGCCTATGGGGCCTCAGCCTAGTAGATTTTGTGTTGTGTGGGGTAGCAGGGGGACTGGAGCACCATCATAGGCTCCCCAATGCAGGGGGGGGGACCCTGATCCTCAAGGGCCAGATCCAGGCAGGCCGGAGGCTGCATCTGGCCCCCAGGCCTAAGGTTCCTCACCCCTGCCCTATGTCATGCTGTGCGTGCTGCAAAAAATCATCTTGCAGTACATCACCGACTCCTGTTCTGTTGTTATAGTCCATAAACTTAGGAAGCCTTGCCCCTCCTTTTCATGAGTTTGTCTGTAGACACAGCAGTGCTAATTTCTATTACTACTTCCTTACTGCAGCCAGTGCTTAATGTC